CTTTGGGGCCGCCTTCCTGCACATTTCGGGGCCGGGGCATCGCTCGCTTTGGCCCGGGGGGCTCGCAGCTCTTGGGGCCGCTGCCCTGCCACGGCCCGGCCGTGCCGCTGTCCGCAGGCTCAGTTCGCCCACCTGGGCTCCTCGCTGCACCCCCGCACGCCGTTCCCGTACCGGACCCCCGAGGAGGCGCTCGGCACTTTCCTGCTCTCCAACGCGCTCTACGCGCTGGCCCCGCAGCTCCTGGCGCTGCGCTGCCTGCGCTCCCCGGCCTTCTTCCTGCGGCCCGCCGCCGCTGCCAGAAAGCTCCAGTGAGGGTCCCCGATGTCCCCCGGGGCTGCTGTCCCCATCCCGGGGCTCCTGATGTCCCCTCCCCGAGGCTGCTGGCACCTCCCCGGGGCTCCTGATGTCCCCCCGGAGCCGCTGTCCCCATCCCGGAGCCGCTGTCACCTCCCCGGGGCCGCTGTCCCCATCCCGGAGCCGCTGTCACCTCCCCGGGGCCGCTGTCACCTCCCCGGGGCCGCTGTCCCCTCCCGGGGGATCCCACCCGGTGCCTCTCACCCCGCTCCGAGCACTGGGACCAGGCGTGTCCCCGGAGGTGTCCCGGGGATGTCCCGGGGGTGTCCCGGGGATGTCCCGGGGGTGTCCCGGAGGTGTCCCCGCGGTGTCCCGGGGTGTCCCGGGGCTGTCCCGGTCCCGCAGCAGCCGCGGGGACATCGCCGCGGTCCCTCCCCGGCGGTCCCGGTCCCGTCCCGGTGCCCAGCCCGGGCTGGGAGCCCCCGGGGGTGGCGGCAGCGCCGGGGGGACGCCGGTGACAAAATAAAGGAGCCCAGGTTCGCTCCGAGCCCGTGTGTGCCCAGCCGGGACCCCCGCGCCGGGCGGGGACACCGGGGCGGCCCCGGGTGGGCGGGGTGAGATTTTGGGGGGTGGGCACAGGGCGGGAGGTGGTACCGGCGGCTCTGGGGTGGCACCCGCCGGGTGGGTGCCCGGGCTGGGGCTGGGTGGGCGCAGCCGCCCTTGCGGTGCCCGCGGTGCGGATTTACCGGGCGCGCTTCCCCGCCTGCTCCCGGCCCGGGGTCCCGGCAGTGCCGGGGGGCTCCGGGGCGCACCGGGCGGGCCGGTGACCTTGGCGAGCCGCCGGTCCTGCGCAGCGCCGGCACCGGGGCAGGGCCGGGCCGAGCTCCCGGCGTCGCTCCCTGCGCGGAACCGCAGCGGCGGCACCGGCGGCGGCACCGGCGGAGGTACCGGCGGAGGTACCGGAGGAGGTACCGGCGGGGGTACCGGAGGAGGTACCGGCGGAGGTACCGGAGGAGGCACCGGCGGGCCCCTCCCGCGGGCGGCACCGGGCACACGGTGAGTGCGGGGCTGCGGCCGCCGGGCACCGGGACGGGACCCCCGGGACCGGGAGGGACGCGGCAGGCGAGGGTCTCCCCCTGCGGGGCGGCGGCGGCGGCAGGAGCGGGGCTCCCCCCGCGCCGCGCTGTCCTCGCCCGGGCACCGGAGTCCCGCAGCCCCGGGGCTGCCGCCGCAGTGTCCCGCACTGCAACACCGCACCGGGCCCGGAGCGCCGCCACCGCCGCAGCCGCTGCCCCGAGCGGCACCGGGACCCCGCGGGGCTGCCGCGCTCCTCCCGCCCCCGCGGCGGCCACCGGGATGCCCGGGGGGGTTTCCCGCGCCCCCTGCCCCCACCGGGCACCGGGACCCCCGTGGGGGGGGGGGGTGCCCCGCTCCGTCCGCCCGCGGACCGGGCACCGGGGCTGTCCCGCTCGCCCTCAGCCCGGGCTTGGCACCGGCACCACCGGAGGGGTTCAGCCTCTCCCCCAGCCCCCGGACCGGGCACCGGGACCCCCGGGGGGGCTGCCCCGCTTTCTGTGCCTCTCGAGCGGACCCCGAGGGCCCGGGCAGCGCTGCCCCGCTCCCTTTGCCCCCGGGACGGCGCCGGGACCACCGGGAGGGGCCGTCCCTCCTCCTGCCCGCGATCGGGCACCGGGACCCCCGTGCCCCCATCGGGGGGGCAGACCCAGAGCCAGGCTGGCATTTGGGGCGCCCCGCGAGCGGGGCTCAGCCTCGCAGCCCCCCGAGGAGGGGGAGGCGCCTCCCGCGGCCCCTCCGCGCTGTCCCGGGCCGGGCTCGGGGCTCTCGGGGCCGCCGCCGCCCGCCCCGCGCCCACCGGTTCCGCTGCCAGAGGTGCCAAAAATAACTGGGGCGATCCGGCCCGCTGCGGCTGCCGCGGAATATTCATCCCGCCGGGAAGCCCCGGGGCACGCCGAGCTCAGAGCCGCGGCCGGGGGTCCCCGCGGGGCTCGGGAGGCGATCGGGGGGCGCAGCGCTGCCCGACCCCCGCCCGGGCACGGGGCGGGCGGCAGCGGGTGCGGGCACCGCTGGGCGCTGCGGGGGCAGAGCGGGGGCTCCGCTCGGCCGCGGG